TCGCTGCTCCTTTGCACATTCAACGACGACATCCGCCGGAACAAATCATTGGTAATATAGGTGAGCGGACTACAAGGTCTAAGGTAACGGCTCATGATATTTGTGCAAATTCTGCTTTTGTTGCTTCTTTTGAACCCAAAGATGTGTCACATGCATTAACTGATAAATCGTGGATTAATGCCATGCATGAAGAACTTGAAAATTTTGAGAGAAACAAAGTTTGGACTATAGTTGAACCACCTTCTGGACATAATATTATTGGAACCAAGTGGGTTTTCAAAAATAAACAAAATGAGGATGGTTTGATTGTGAGAAATAAAGCTGGACTTGTTGCTCAAGGTTTTACTCAAGTTGAGGGTTTGGATTTTGATGAGACTTTTGCTAATGTTGCTATAATTGAGGCAATTAGACTTTTATTGGCTTTTGCTACTTCAAAAGGTTTTAAATTGTATCAAATGGATGTGAAAAGTGCTTTTCTAAATGGTTTTATACAGGAAGAAGTTTATGTCAAACAACCACCAGGTTTTGAAAATCCAGATTTTCCCAAACATGTTTTTAAATTGTCTAAAGCTTTGTATGGCTTGAAACAAGCTCCTAGAGCATGGTATGATAGGCTTAAGAACTTTTTGCTTACGAAAGGTTTTACAATAGGAAAGGTTGACAAAACGCTTTTTGTTCTTAAGCATGGTGATAATCAACTTTTTGTTCAGATTTATGTAGATGATATCATCTTTGGTTGTTCGACTCATGCTTTGGTTGTAGATTTTGCTGAGATTATGCACAGGGAATTTAAGATGAGCATGATGGGTGAGTTATCGTACTTTTTGGGATTGCAAATTAAGCAAACACCTCAAGGTACTTTTGTGCATCAAACGAAGTATACGAAGGATCTTTTGAGACGGTTCAAGATGGAGAATTGCAAGCCAATTTCAACACCAATTGGTTCTACAGTTGTGTTGGATTCTGATGAAGATGGTGAAGCTGTTGATCAAAAGGAATATAGAAGTATGATTGGATCTTTGTTGTATTTAACTGCTTCTAGGCCAGGCATACAATTTGCTGTGTGTTTGTGTGTACGCTTTCAAGCTTCTCCTCGTGCTTCACATCGTCAAGCGGTCAAGCGAATAATGAGGTATTTGAATCATACACTTGAGTTTGGAATTTGGTATTCTACTTCATCTTCTATATGCTTAAGTGGATATTCTGATGCTGATTTTCGAGGTTGTAGAATTGATAGGAAAAGTACTAGTGGAACATGTCATTTTCTTGGTAAATCATTGATTGCATGGTCTTCTAGGAAACAATCTAGTGTTGCTCAATCAACTGCTGAATCTGAATATGTTGCTGCTGCTAGTTGTTGTTCACAAATTCTTTGGCTTTTATCTACTTTGAAATATTATGGTCTTACTTTTGAGAAAGTACCTCTCTTTTGTGATAATACTAGTGCTATCAATATTGCTAAGAATCTTGTTCAACACTCACGCACAAAGCACAATGATATTCGTTTTCACTTTTTGAGGGATCATGTTGAGAAGGGAGATGTTGAATTGCAGTTTTTGGACACAAAGTTGCAAATTGCTAATATTTTCACTAAACCTTTGGATTCTAATCGCTTTGCTTTTCTTCGTGGTGAATTGGGCATAATTCATCCTTTTGGCACGGTTTGAGGGGGAGTTTGTACCTCATGGTTTTATCAAGCAATAATATGACAATGAAAATTGAGAAAAGGGAGCTTTGTTTATGCATATGGTATTTTCTTGTGCATGCTAGCAATACTTTGAAGATTTATTTGTCTCTAGTATAGTTTGTATGTATTCTAGTTTTTTCATGAGATTTAGATTTTGTTTTTAAGGGAGATGATGCATGACACTTAAATTCTATACTTGAATTAAGCAAATATGCAATGTTGATGCTAGCATATGGTTTGATTTATAAAGGCTCTATATATATGCTTTATTGAATTGTTATTCCTCAAATAGCTTTAATTGCTTATTGTGAAAAAGAGAGTACAAAATATGAAAAAAAATGAATACCGAATCCTTGGAAAGAGTCTTGACGACAAGGACGTATTCGATGTGAGCAAAATAATGGGTGCTGAATCCCTGGAAACAGTCTTGACGACAGGGACGTACCCGGAATAAAAGAGAAAAATATGAGCAAAAACGCTCAAGAAAAGAAAAGGTTCAAAAATTCTCTTGGTTATTTTGTGCTAAAGTTTATTTGAGAAAGAGTGATAAATGCAATAGGTATATGTATTTAGTGTTTATTCTTCAACCTATGTGCTTGTTAAGATGTTGCATTATAAATTGTATGAAATCATGAATTTTGGTTGTTGATTCAAGCTTAATTGTAAAATCTTTGGTTCATGGTTATACTTTAATGCATGCTTCTTATATTATAGATGGGTTCATCTTCTTTTTATTGCAACACATGACATGATATGCTATATGTATGCTAAGCTCTTGAACATTAATGAATATAATTCCTATGCTTGATGAAATCATTGTCAAAAGGGGGAGAAGTAATGTGAAATTTTTTGGATTTTTGGAGAAGCAAGGTGAATTTTTAGAGAGTTATTTTTGGAGAAGCAAGGTGAATTTTTGAAGAGTTGTTGAGAAGAGCATGTTTAAAAAGGGGGAGAAGTTTTCTTTTGGATTTTCGAGCACGATGTGTACGTTTGTACGAAGTGTGCTTTTACCACCTTTGTTTTTATTTTTTTTCCAAAAACCAAAACATTTTTTATGGGTTTGACAATGTGTTCATCAAGGGGGAGATTGTAAAATCAAAGGTGTTTTTGATTATTATTCTGTGATGAACAATTGGGCATCGGAGATTATTGGTTTTGTTATTTGGAATTTATTCACGAAGTGGTTTTGGAGATGATTGGATTTCACAGGTGATCATAGGATTTGTTATTTCATGTGACCGGTCAGACCAGGCTCTGGTAGCCAGTCGGACCGGCGGTATGCGCGCGGTCAGACCGGCCAGCCCGCGGTCTGACCGGCCGATACTGTGTCAGTTTCGGTTTCAGGTTGTTTGTTTCGATATCCGTGATTATTTCATGATTATGACTTCTAGATGGATACTATACGTATGTAATACTGTTGTTTGCTACTAATGAGTCAAGTTGGAGATAGCTTGGTCTCGGAATATGGTTTCTTTGTTTGTTCCATGTGTAGGTGACTCGATGTCTCGGGAGAGTATTTGCGGTGATGGACCGGGAGTCGGCTTGGGGATAAGGCAACGTCCGTGGTGGTCAGAGATCATGCGGGATACTTAGGCTAGAGTTGATGCACGTGGTTGATGAAGATTCCATATGGCATACGATGGAGTTATTGTGTGCTTATGGGATGCGGAGTCGAATTTGGAAGGAGTCCAAATTTGGTACGATTGGTTATGTAAAGTTTCTTTCTTGTACTAGAGGGTTTCCTAAGGTGTTTAGGACTCCTAGTATGAGTTTGGTTCGTGGCTTTAGGCTGCCTACCTCGGGTATAAATAGAGGGGGAGCGTGAGGCTTCCCGGTATCGCTTTTGAGAGCAATTGAGTTGAGTTTTGAGTTAGGGTTTCGAGTTTAGTCGAAATTTTTTGTAAGGAGTGCTGTTGGTGCACTTTGTAAACAGAGAGAGAATCAATAAAGTCGTCATCTACTTTAAGAGTTCTTCGATTTGTGTTTACCGGGTTTCGGCGGTCTAACCGGCGATCTACCGGCGGTCAGACCGGCGGCAAGCGGCGGTCAGACCGACGGAAGCACGGCGGTCAGACCGGCGGCGGAGACAGGCGCGGCGAGCAGCTTCGGCGGTCAGACCGGTTGATCTATACCTCAACCGGTCAGACCGACGGCATCTGAGCGGTCAGACCGGCAGGACAACTCCGGTCAGACCGATCTCCGTCGAATTCGATGGTAACTTTTATTTCCGTTAAAAGTTTTCGGTTTTTGGGTATACTAACTTTTCACCCCCTCTGATTGGCTTAGTTCTTGTGATTCGATCCTACGTTAACTTCTAAAATACTAATAACACACGTATAAAAGATTTTTATCACTTTATCAAACATAGCTTAACCAATCAGAACACAAGTAGAGCAGTGTTGTTTAATTAAGCATCCTGAAAGTGTCTGGGCATGGGGCCAACAAGATGGTCATTAGGCCATTAATTGTGACTTATGAGTATTGGTTCCGTACATTATTGATCGCATTAATTATTTCTGAACGGATGGGTGCGGGGACTCTAATGGAGTACTACTATATTATTATAATGACTCGAAGACTCAATATTCAATAGCTTACGGATCGTATGGCTAATCTTGGAACAACTTGAGATTGCCGTGTTCAGATTCAAATTTTTTCTTCAAACTGCTAACTTTTCCATCACATTAAAAATTTGAACACATATATGGAGCATTAAATGTGAATATAAAAAAAACCAATTGCACAGTTTGCATGTAAATCGTGAGACGAATCTTTTGAGCCTAATTACACCATAATTTGACACTGTAATGCTACAGTAAACATTTACTAATGACAGGTTAATTAGGCTTAATAAATTCGTCTCGCGGTTTACAGGCGAAATCTGTAATTTATTTTCTTATTAATCTACGTTTAATACTTCAAATGTGTATTCATATACTTAAAAAAAATTTGGTACACGAACTAAACACGGCCATATTGGTCCAATCCAGGACATACATTGATAGTACTAATTCATAAATATTTTGGCAACTACCTTGTTTAATTGGAAGCACACAACACCTTATAAATATATAAATATTTCGTTACAATATGTACTGTATGAGTATCCATCCATATAGGGGACCACAAGTTTTTATAGTTCATCTAAAAATTTTCGAAAGACTAGTTCATCTAAAAATTAAAAATAACAAATAGCACATCATCTATGATTTCCATAGAATAAATATTTACCAACCACATCTTTATTGATCTGTTTCCTCTCTGGTCACAGATTTCTGATCACCAAACAGTACCAAGCCTCCACATTTTTAAGGAGACACTGACATGGAAGGCTCTAGTCAGTCATTGCCCTACTCGCTTTAATTATACAGCAAAAGAATGACAAAAGGCATGGCCCTCGTTCTTTCATGTCCTTCTTTTGAGGCTTCTTCTTCTTCTTCTTCAGGTGCTTCCATTATTTGCTCCTCTAATTAATCTTACCTTTACAATGAGAATTGCTTATATATATCCACGATTCTCAGGACTGTAAGCTTGTGAGGCAGAGTTGTTGGACAAGAGGAAAATAGCCACAGCAGGGTCGGCACAATGGAAGGCTCCATTACTGACGCCAAACTACCTCTTCTTCCTCTCCTCAATGGCACACCTTCTCTGCAGGTAACCATTGCTAACCTTTCATGCATGTCTCTGCTTTCATCTTAGTTTTCTACTTTTCTTCTGGGCGAGGGTAAAAAAAATCGTTTGTTTGTTTGAGAATTGAGACGGATGGTTAAACATACCTCCTCAGTTGCATGCATTGATTTATATTTCATATGAGAAAGTTGAACTTTGTTGGTGAGATTTTTCTTTGATTTCCTTTTTCTTGGCAGATCTAGTTGTTTTTAACAAAAAAACAAGAGAATGAAAGGATGGTTTTGTACTTTTGGGAAGGGCAAGGGCAGCCGTTCGTTTTTATAACTCATTCCTACTTTCCTAGGATCGATGTGATGGTCCGGAACATTATTTTAAAACCTTGTTTTTGGCTTATATTCTGATTTTTTATGTTTGTATTTCAGAATATTATAACTCACACGTTTATACAGAAAGTTTCAAATTATTTATGGTATGTACTGATTCATGCTAAGAAAAATTTGGAGCAGACGCAGAATTAAAGCTGCGAGCTTATATGTGCTATCGATATATGCTGGCATTCCGGAATAAACAAAACTCCTTTATGTATAAAAAAACATATTTGTTGGCATTTTCAAAGTTTATAATAATTTTTTGAAGAACACATTTATATAGACTACTGCACTGTATTGGCATGTCTTTTATTACATGCCAATAATTGATAGTATTCCTATATTTTTGTTGGGCCAGAACAACCTATTGCTCCAAATCGTTCAATGTAACTCAGGCCTTATTTGGACGGGCCAAATGAAATCATGACCCATCCCTAGCGGAACGACAGTTTTCGCAAAATCCGGTGGAAAGTCGGTAGATTCCGAACAAATTTTATAAACCAAAATTTGAATACAAATTTCTTGAATTTACCGATAAGCTCATGAAAACCAGTCGGCTTTGGTGAAATTCCGAGCGAAATCATCGAAATTTCAATCGTTAACTAGAAAAGAGGTAAACTGAATTTTTTTTCCTTTTTTTAATTCGTTATTCTTTTCTTTCCCAGTGTAAATTTCAGTAAATACACGGAATAAATCAATTTTTTTAAAAATTTATATCCCAATAGGTTCTATGAATATCATACTATTTATAAGATTTTATTTGTTTTTTTCCTTTTTTATCAATTCAAATTTGAATTTCGATGAAACTCATCGAAATCTCATACGGCTTTTACTTTCGAGCCTTGTCGAAGCTTCGAAATTTTATGGAATTCGACCGGTTTTCGTCAGAATTGTGAACCTTGGGCGGGATACATGAATAGAAAATCAGTTGAGGTCTGAACTAAGGACGAAGAGAGCCATGGAAGATACCAAGTTCACGTTTGTTGTTCCATGGCCCTTGCAACCATCGGTTTGCCACTTAAGTATTACTAGCTTCCACTAACTGCCAACATGTGAGTTGCATCGCTTGTGCACTTTACTCTTTCATTAGTATTATAGATATTAACTACATTACGTTGAAAGTTAAATATAGAATTTATCGTTTTAAGGCTAACGAAAAAAAACAATCTACTTAGGAGTTTTGGTATTTCTTTGCACGCAATTATTTGAAATTTTAACATGTATTTTTAATGAATAACTTTTGATCAAATTCATAAATATTTGAAAAAATCTGAAATTTTTGGGGGATATTTAAGTTTGCCGGTGGGGTCTGAAATTACTAAAATTTTGAACTGGAATAACAAACCCTACCTCAGAGTTAAAAGTCTTCGTTACTTTCTGTCAATTTAATAATTTTGAAAATTAGGAATCAATAAATATCGATTTGTACTAACGATTTGACTTCAGAAGAGCCCAGGAAACACAACACTGAAGAAAGCTAATGTGATCTGCCTAGATCCAAAGCCAGTATTTATGCCATCTATATATCTCTCTATCTATTATATTATTAAAACATATTTGAAAAGAGACACCACGTTCGCAGTGGGGGCTAAAAATTCCCACATTAATCGGAGAAAAAGAAAAAGAGATTCCAAGTAGAAATACAATTTAAAAATAGCTGAAATTCGGAATTAAAAATAAGGAATAGTGAAAGAAGAGTCCATATAAGAACCCAATACGAGATTAATTAAAATTCGGAATAAAAATAAAACAAAATTCGAAATTAGAAAACAAAAAGAAGAGTCCAATAGGAATACAATTTAAAAATAAACTGAAATTCGAAATTAAAAATAAGGAATATTGAAAGAAGAATCCATATAAGAACCCAATACGAGATAAATTATAATTCGGAATAAAAATAAAATTAAATCTGAAGTTAGAAAAAAAGAGAAGAGTTCATGTAGGAATACAATTTGAAAATAACTAAAATTCGAAATTAAAAATAAGTAAATATTGAAAGAATAGTCCATATAAAAAACCAATACCATATTAAATAAAATTCAAAATAAAAAATCAAATAAAATTCAAAATTAGAAAAATAAAAATTAAAAAGATAGTTCAAGTAGGAATAAAATTTTGAAACAATTGAAATTGAAAATAAAAATTAAAAAATATTAAAAATAGTATATATAGAACACAATACGAGATTAATTAAAATATAAAATAAAAATAAATTCAAAAGATAGAAAAAGAAAAATAAGAGCTCAATTAGAATATAATTTATAAATAACTAGAAGTTTTAATAAAAACGTAATGACTATTGAAATAAGCGGCAATCTGGAACACATGGCGAGATGAATTAAAGTTCAAAATAACAAATAAAATATATTTCAAAAATAGAAAAATAATTATAAGAGTTTAAGTAGGAATATAATTTATAAATAAAAATTATCGGAATGAAAAATATGCAATTTTGTTTAAAAAAAACAGTCCATCTAGAACAGAACGATAACAAATGACAATAAAGAGGGGAGAAGCAATAGGCTTGTAAAGGAGTAGAGTGCTGGCGGTTGATGGGATATCTAAAACCTATAAACAAAACCCCAAATAGAACCCCAATAATGATTAAGAGAAATGACGATGGGTGTGCCGTTAAGCAACATGGTCACGACGGTTGGCGGTACTTATGAAGAGTAAAAATAAAACCAATTGATAATCATGCTCGATTTTTAAAATCTCAATGACAATAAGGAGGGAAAGTAGCGGGTAGGATATAGAGAAGTATAGTGGCGAAGCTACTAACGATTTGGTGAAACTTATAGAAAGTAAAAAAGAACACAAACAATATTTGTGTTCGATTTTTAAAATCCCAATGACAATAAAGAGAGGTGTCAGCAGACGGGCCATAGAATAGTAAATTGGCGATGTTTGACGATACTTCTAAAAATTATGAAAACGAAACCCAACAAGACACTGAACTCTAAAAACTATATGGCCTAATTTTTAAAGTTCTAAAAAGGATTAATAGAAGTAGTGGTAAATCGGGTAAGCAAATAAAAATGTGCCAAAGAAGTAAGGGGTAGCGACTGCCATAGCTTTTAAAAACTATAAAATTATTAGAGTCACGGGGATAATAATTTTAAATAAAATCATGTGTAAAAATATATAATTTTACATTGATGCTAGCCGCGCAATTGCGCGGGCCGTCCAACTACTTCGACACAAAAGTTGCTAGGATCCCTGAAAGTCGGCGTGCTGAAAGTTGAGTACGATGACTCATTACACTTCAATAACCTTCACGCGACCTATTAAGTGTACTTAATCAACCTTAATCTCTGCTGCAAAGGCTGCAACTGTCGATCGTGTCGCACAAGCAGTTTGCTTTTTATATTCTAACGATACGAATTTCCGTGCCAAATGACATGGCAAGTGCTTCTTGTTAATGCTATCGTGGGAGCTCCTTAAAACTTACTGTCCGCTTCGTCGCCGGCGATCGAGCAGAGCATGGCAAATGAGGAGCAGCGGCAGTGGATGGACGGGGAGTTTGGCTGCCAGCCGGTTGCTAACATTTTCTTTGATTTCCTTGATTTGCCTGGAGAAATTCACCATTGCAACTTCTTTTCATTCTATGATCTCTTTTGCTCATCTGATGAGGTGTCCTAACAATCAAATGTAGGAGTAATCAAATGCTTGTGCTTGGTTGCAGGAGGAAGGTCCATACACAGGCAATGGATCAGTTGATGTCAAAGGCAATCCAGCATCTAAAACACACACTGGGAAATGGAAGGCATGCTACTCTATTCTAGGTTGAATAACACACACTGCCCAACATCTCAGTGTTCATCAATCACATTTCAGTGTTCATTTTGAACTAGTGAAGAACATGTTCTTGGCACGGTGTATGTAGGTGGCGAATTTTGCGGCGCATTGGCGTACTACGCAGTAGGGACCAACCTGGTGAGCTACCTGACCAAGGTACAGGGACAGAGCAATGTCACTGCTGCTAGCAACATCGCTGCTTGGCAGGGTAACTGCTACCTCACCACAATACTCGGCGCGTTCCTCGCAGACTCCTATTGGGGAAGGCACCGCACAATCGTCGTCTCCCTGACCACCTTTACCTTTGTAAGAGATCACAACATTTTCATATTTTTCTGAATACGAGCAAAGTTGTCTGAATATCAGTTAAGTTGTCTGAACATTTGTGTTATGTACTGTACATTTTCAGGGAATGGTTCTACTCACACTTTCAGCAGTGGTTCCACCAAACATGCACAGATCAATGGCAACCTTTCCTCAGGAGGCATTGTCCTCTCTTGGCCTCTACATGACAGCTCTGGGCTTGGGTGGCATATGGCCATGTGTGCCGACATTCGGAGCCGATCAGTTCGACGACACCGACGTTTCAGAGAAGGCGCAGAAGGAGCTCTTCTACAACTGGTACTACTTCGCTGTCAATGGCGGGTTCTTCGTCGCGAGCACGGTTATAGTGTGGGTTCAGGATAACTGTGGTTGGGGACTGGGTTTTGGGATCCCTACACTGTTCTCGGTCATCGGCGTTGTCGGATTCCTTGCGAGTATGAGGTTTTACAGGTACCAGAAACCCGGCGGTAGCGCGCTTACTAGGATCTGCCAGGTTGTCGTGGCGGCGTTTCGCAAGGTCCACGTGGACGTGCCAAGTGACAGCTCTCTGCTCTATGAGATGCCAGGGAAGGAGTCTGCCATTGTTGGCAGCAGGAAGCTGATGCACACTGATGGACTCAGGTAAACTAAATTCTGCCAATTCTGATCAATTTCTGATCTCAATTCATTATGCATCATCTGCCGTAACGGGCTAACGGCAGGTGTCGTTTAACAAAATTTCGACAAAATTTTCTAAATCTTAGAATGCAATAGCATGGAAACTGGAAATTTAAATCCGAAATGTAGAATCCTGCTAAAAGTCATACTTTCAGCTTACAAAATTACAGATGGTGATCACTTATTAATCTTCACCGTACCTATATTGAGTTGTTCAGTGAACTGAAAACACAAGATCAAATTTGATGAATTTTTATCACTAATTGTTGCAATTAGGTTCTTTGACCGAGCTGCCACTATCACTGCATCCGATGAAGCATCAGCTAGTCGTCCATGGAAGCTGTGCACGGTGACGCAGGTGGAGGAGCTCAAGATCTTTGCGAGGATGCTCCCCATCTTCCTCACCGGAGTAATCTTCAACACCGCCGAGGCCTGCTTCCCGCTGTTCGTCGAGCAGGGAGGCGCCATGGACAACCACGTCGCCGCCGCCTTCGCCTTGCCACCGGCGTCGCTGACGACCTTCACCTGCGTCTGCATCCTCGTCCTCGCGCCGACATACGACAGGGTCCTCATGCCGGCGGTGAGCAGGCTCACCGGCGTCAAGCGCGGCCTCTCCGAGCTGCACCGCATCGGCGTCGGAATGGTCTTCGCCGTTCTCGCGCTCGCCGCCGCCGCGGCCGTTGAGACGGCGCGCCTCCGCAGCGTGGAGGCGGATGCTCCGGCGGTGAGCATCCTGTGGCAGGCGCCGCAGTACGTGCTCGTCGGGGTGGCGAAGGTGTTCGGCGTCGTTGGGTACATCGAGTTCGCGTACGAGCAGAGCCCCGACGCCATGAGGAGCTTGTGCCAGGCGTGCTCGCTCATCATGGTCACCCCCGGGAGCTACCTCCTCTCCGCCATGCTCACCATCATCAGCTCCGTCACCGGCGGCGGCGGCGGCCATGGCGGATGGATCCCGGAGAATCTGAACGAGGGACATCTCGATCGATTCTTCTGGTTGATGGCGGCGTTGCAGCTCATCAACCTCATCGCCTTCGTCTGCTGCGCTGCCACCTACAAACGCAAGCTGCCTACCACTTGACTTTTTATTTCTTTTTGTGTATGTGTGTTTTCAGCTAATTAATTAATTAGTCCTAGTAATAAAATTGCCTTGGAAGTGCCTATGTAGTGTAGGGTTGAATCAATTATAAATGTGCTATTTGTGATATGTGTAAACCTCATCGGAGGTTTTTTTAGATGTTTAAACGTCGGTTTTTTAATTAACAGCAGGACAACAATAAATACTTTGCCATTTTCTAATTTCTGTAATATTCTAAAAAACCAATTTCATGTACCTTTGCTTATTATCACTAGTAAAAGTGATCCTAATTGTTGATTTATGAATTCTACATTTTAGATAATGGAAGAACCATTCCAGTCTTTGCTCTGAATAAGTTACAACCAAATTATTACGAAGTTTGCATTAAAACGATTGTGAATTGCACAACGCAATTTGATGGAAAACAAGAGAACTAACTGAAACACCAGCCTACACCAGCCTACAGGCACAAATGATGACCTATTCCTAAACCTTCATCTATGGTTAGCAAAAATCTGCATAAACCCCATTTAGTTCTTGTAATTGTAATGTGCGTTATAAATAGCTGTCTATATGGGATTCACATGATTTTTTAGGCTTCCATCATGCAGTGTTTCATCAAGTAGAGCGAAAATGTTTCACCAAGTAGATTGAAAATGTTTCAATCTTTTTAAAAAGCTGGAACACAATCAAATCACCCCATGAAACTTTTTGCTACAACATAACATATGAAACTATGGTTCTAAATATATTAAAACATGAAACAAATCCGAGTACATCGAGAAAAAGTTTATATGGGATTCGCATGATTTTTTAGGCTTCCATCATGCAAATTTCGAAGCCAATCGAGCGTTGTTTTACCAAGTAGATCGAAAATGTTTCAATCTTTTAAAAGACTGAAACACAATCAAATCACCTCATGTAATATTTTACTACAACATATGAAACAACGGTTCTGAATATATTAAAACATGAATGATTTAGCTATCAAAAATCATTCGACAGCCATTTAGCCTTCCCGTTATAAATATATACAATCCATTAGATTAGAGAAGATGAATGTCTAGGTTGGCTTCTACTACCAACAAAGACTACCGTAAAGGCAAAACAAACGTATCAGTGTTTATATCTTATTATTTTCAAACTAGATGGTTCTTTTGGGTTTTGCACTAAATTCATGACCCTTTGGAATATGCAAAGATATTTTGGAAAAGAGAAAAATGTAAAGAACTGCTCAGATGGGTGATTTCTGATTTGCAATATGTATCTTAGAGTACGATAAATTCAGTATATATAGTTTGTGTGAATCAGATATATGATCTATTATTAATTTGGTATAGCTTGTAGGTACTAAATACTACTATACATATAATTATTGGCAAACTGTATAAAGTTTGATTATCTGAAATTAGAATAAGTCTAGCTAGGTTAGTAAAAGTGGACGGAATTGAAAGAGTAAATCATGCGAAAAGATATTTCAACATCTATTATGAGGGTATCTCCATATTCTGCATTCTGAATTATTCCAAATTTTGGATTCACATGTGCAAGATAGATAAACACGATGAAACCTTCTGGCTTTATATGATCTTTGTAGATTGTAGGCATGGTCGTTTGCAAATGCGTCCTTGCTTGATCAATGGATTGTATATTTCATCCTTTTCCTCATTTTGTGGAAAAAGGAAAGAAAAAATAGAATAATGATAGCCCAGCTGCTTAATGTGACAAAATTAGAAGACAACACGCATAAAAAACACGACCCGATATTTAACGTGATTAATTAAATCGTGCTCTATATATATGATACTCAAATGACCAGTTCATGCATATATTTATACACGGAACAACTAGGCTTAGAGTTTTTAATTCAACTGTTTTTTTTTCCGGTCAGATCCTCTTAATTAGCTCATTATCTAAAAGAGATATCATCTTAGCTAATTGATGCGGGAGAATATATTTACCCATGAAAACAGTGCTATAACATAATCCACTTGTTCTACTTAATTACCCCAATTAGTCCAACATAATCTGGCCGAACAAACAATTAATACTTATCAATTCCTGCTAACTGTGCATAATATATATTTTATATGTTCAAGATGTGTCTAAACTATGTTCATTTGGAGGTGCAAACATTGATTTGTCCTGGGCTTCTCAAAGGAAATCAATAAAAGAGGTCCCAATGGATATAAAATTCCTATGAATTTTCTATGGAATCGATGGCAAAGATAGATTTCCTCCACTTTTTCTATGCCCCATTCCTTCATTAATTCCAAATGAATCAATAGTGGCAAATTCTATAGGAAATGGAATCATCCAATTATCCTCCAAAAACCGTTCAATCCAAACAAAGAACCCCTTCAATTCAAAGGAGTACTAAATAACATTTTTCCAATGCCCTTCAATATTTCTCATTGTTTCTGAATAACATGATTAAGAAACATTGTGCTAGTTTCTTTGATTTGATCTTACTAGATGAAACAACTATAAGACAAATTTCATGATCCGCTTAATGATCGCGCTTTGAGACACCGCGCCTCCCTCTACGCTGATGACTTGGTCCTCTTCCTCTCCCCGGTTCGGCAGGATCTCGAGTTCATCCAGGGCATTCTCTCGGTCTTTGGTGCGGCATCCGGGCTGCGCACCAATTTTGCCAAATGCTCGATTACTCCGATCCGCTGCTCGGATGAGGACCTGGAGCTGGTTCACTCTTGCTTCCCCTGCTCGATTTCTGATTTTCCTTGCACCTACCTCGGCATTCCGCTGTCCGTTCGCAAGTTGCCAAAGGCGGCTCTTCAGCCACTGGTGGACAGGGTCGCTCATCGCCTACCACCTTCGAAGGGGCGTCTCACCACTCTTGCTGGTGGCTCTGTGCTGGTCCAGTCTGTTCTCTCCTCCATACCAGTCCATGTGTCTATGGCAATCGGCCTTCCTGCCTGGGTTGTTAAGGCTATTGACAAGAAGCGACGCGTCTTCTTGTGGACGGGTACAGATGCGGTTCATGGGGGACAGTGCCAGGTGTCCTGGACGAATGTCTGTCGTCCTAAGGCCTTCGGTGGGTTAGGAATTCCTAACCTCAGGTTGGCAGGGTTCGCCCTGCGCGTTCGCTGGCTTTGGCTTTAGCGTTCCGGGCATCTCTATTGGGATGGCTTGAAGGCCCCGGTCGAGCAGTCTGTCTCCGACATGTTCGAGGCGTCCACCTTCTTCATGCCGGGGAATGGTGAATCTATGCTCTTCTAGACTGACCATTGGATTGATGGAGGCCGCTCAGTGGCCTCCTTGGCTCCTGACCTCCTCTTCGCTGTGCCACAGCGCCTCCGTTCGCGCACGGTTGCTTCTGGCCTGGCGAACAACTCCTGGGTTTCGGACATCCGCGGGGCCCTCACTGTCCCTGTCATCTCCCAGTTCTTCTTATTTGGGATGCTGCGCTTCGAATTCAGCTCTCGCCGGGTGTCAGAGACCGTCTTGTTTGGTGTTGGACGAGCGACCAGCGCTACTCTGCGCGTTCAGCGTACCAGGCCTTCTTTTTTGGCCAGCACTCCTTTGCCTGTGCCGATCTTCTCTGGCACGCGAAGGGCCCTGCTAAATGCAAGTTCTTCCTCTGGTTTGCATTTCAGCGGCGCTGCTGGACGGCCGACCTCCTCCTAAAGCGTGGCTTGGATAGTCATTCGGCCAGCCCCTTCTGTGGTCAAGAGCTTGAGACAGCGAACCACATCCTCCTCGATTGCATCTTCGCTCGGCAAGTTTGGCTCCGTGTGCTGTCGCCTCTTGGTTGGACTACCCTCTCTCCTCCCCGAGGTAGCTGTCTCCAAGATTGGTGGCCTTCTTCTAGGGTTGGCTTGCCGGGGCATCTCCGGGCCAGTTTCGATTCTATGGTCCTCCTAGTCTCTTGGCAACTGTGGAAAGAGCGGAACTCTAGAGTTTTTGACTCTGCATTGTCATCGGTCTCGGAGGTCCTTGAGTCTATCCTCTCTGAGGGCCACCTTTGATCTTTAGCTGGTATCACTAATTTTGGGGTTCTATTGGGAAGGTAGTGGCTCTGCCCCCTCCCAGCTATTTGGAGTTGTGTGTAGCTGTCACAGTAGTCTTTCGTCTCTTCTTTATTTTAGTCTTTTTTTTCTCCCCTTTCTTGGCATAAGTCGGTCTGACTCATTGCGTCGTGTAACAAACATTCTTTTCTTCTAATATATTGACGTGCAATCCTTTTGCGCGTTCGAGAAAAAAAAGTAATGAAAGGCACTGAATTTCGTGTAAAATTTTGGTATCTCATAATACCTAAAGTACAATAAAATTACTCAATAACTAAACATTACTTGCTGTATGCATGTGTTCAAGATATTATGCCAAGTGCAACACGATGAAACAACCTGTGTTTAACTTTATCACAGGGTCGTCGTCTCCAAAATATCGAGTGCTGCAACACAACACATTTTGAGACAGACATATCCTCAAGTTGGTTAAATCTTCTAGATGAAAGCCTTTGCAATTGCATATATGTTTATGTCATCAGCAACAAGAAGTTTTCTGCAATATTTTTTGCTACTTTTCTCCATGGGGAAGGAAAATCTTGATTGGGATAAGGATATTGCATAATTCAGTTCGAACACTACTTAAAACTGCAAGGTTGTAACAAGCTCGATCAAGAATATCTCAATACGTGTAGCTTAATTAACTATGTGATCAATGATGAGGTGAACAATTCCATCAGAAAAAAAATTATGAGGTGAACAAGTCTAATAGTATCATAAATAACCCAATAATTCGATCTCGTGTGTTTCAGGTCCTCAGGTGATCAATCATGAGGATCATTAGCATGATCCTTCGAAGCTGTAACCTCCTGTACAACATCATTCTTGTTTATTTTTGGAAAGAGTCATTACTCTTGGTTATAGACTTAATAGCATTGTTTTTTTTATGGTCTCTTGCTTATATATTATTGAGTATATATATGGATGCATCATGTGTGCTTGTGTTGCATTGTGCATTTACAGACAACATTCATACAGCACTTGATAAGACACATGGACACAAACAAACCGGGTGCTTTGGCAGATGAAGCAGGGCTTAACAATGAGGTGACTGCCTGCTTCTGCTTTCTAATGAACAACTTCTCTTTCTACACTGTTCTTTTTATTTCACTTTTCCTATTTTATTTCCAAAAAATATTCAGATGACTTTTCACTTAACATAAATTTCTTTGTGCCAAAGAAATGTGGTTAATTCCTTTCTTTTCCCACGTTTACGAAAAAATAAATCTACCTGCACAATTCAAATTGTAATTCAGAGTATTTGAGTTCAGCTTTTACAGTTCTTGAGGAAGAAAATGTAAAGAAATAGTAGAATGACGGCAAAGTCACGTGTCAATCAAGGTGTCCATAAATATTATACACATATATCTGTGCTCCCAACAGTAATTCAGTGAGGTTTGGGATTTATCCCTGTCCTCGTTCGTTTCTGATTTTTTTGATATTCTAGATACCGTTCTCATTTCTAATTTTTACTGTTTTTGACTATGTTGTACAGAAAGAAAAAAAGTTATTGAAATGGTTGAGGCTATTTTCTGACCGTTTTCTTCCCTATATGTCACCGTGTAATAAAAAATAAATACTCTAAAAAGAATATTATTGGTATGCTACAAATTTACCTATGCTCGTGAAAAGGAATAATACACATCAAAAAATGAGGAATATGTTGAAGTAATTATGACGGGCCATTTTGGTTTTAAAGCCCTACCAGAAATTTTTGGTAGTGACAAATTTTGGGTAGGTAAAGTTAGATCAATAATGAAGTCAAATATTAATACTACGGTGAAGAAACTGGTACCACATTATTTGGCTTCAATTGAAGCTACCACATTTCCTCTTTTTTTAAAAAAAATGGTAGGGCATAGTAATTTTTGTATGAATTAAAAACGGCCCTACTTATCCTTTTTTTTTCCAAGGAGAATGGATCCCAAGTCCAAACTGTCACAAAGTTGTGTTCATGGTTACGTTGAGTTCAGTGCTTTTCTCTCCTGTCAAAAAAAAAACAAAGAAAGAAGATATGTTTGTGCCCCAACAGTTTATTTTATTTTGTTGTAGAAAAATTCTTGAAATATATATATATATAAATTTACTGATATGGATGCTACTATATAGTGACAGCTAGGGATGAACAGACATGAAGAATTTACAGAGTGGCACGTAGGTAACAATTGTTCAGTTGCTGCAGGGTAAACTAAGCCAGCACACAGGAGATGGATCTGTTGATGTCAAAGGGAATCCTGCATCCAAACACTCTACTGGTTGCTGGAGGGCATGTGCTTTCGTTCTTGGTAAACATACAACACCTTACATGAAAAAAAAATGATACTTGTGCTATTAAAATAAAAAAAATGGCATTTTGAAATATACCATTTAGCTCACTTAGTTTCTTGAAATTGGTAGTACGGATCCGGCCATGCTGCCTGTTCAGTTTCTCCATGTTCTGAATTCTTACAGATGCTACATGGTTTTCACCAATTTTCCTTATCTTCTATTCCCATTTCAACCTGTCTTATACCAGTTGCATCGATCTGCAGGTTCATGTAATAAGTTGCATATTGAAATTCGGTTTGTTGTGAAATATGAATTCATCAGGGACGGAATGCTTGGGGCAGTTGGCGTTCTTCGGGGTGCAGTACAGCCTGGTGACATTCCTGACGACGCAATTGCGGCAGGGAAATGCAGAAGCAGCCAGGAACTTCAGCATGTGGCAGGGCACCTGCTACATCGCTCCCCTCGCCGGTGCCATCGTCGCCGACTCCTGCCTCGGCCGATACCGCACCATCCTCGCCTTCTTCTCCATCTACATCATCGTAAGCTTGATTTAATCATTCTTGTTGATTTCACACAACTTTCTTTAACAATGACAATAGTTCACATCTTAATTTGCTCTCCCAAAAAATGTACCATGCCATCCATCCACATTACGTACTCTCTCCGTTTTATATTATAAGTTGATAGAAATTTTTCCTGACCAAATTTATTGAAAAATATAGTAGTATTTTCAATACAAAACAAACATATTATCAAAATATATTCAAGGTTAAATTTAATGAAACTAATTTGATATTTTATATGTTATTAAATTTTTATATAAACTTGGTAAAACATAACAAAATTTGACTAGAAAAAAGTCAAACAACTTATAATATTAGAGAGAGTATGTATATTTAGCTACAGTACTCCATTTACTGTAGCTGCCATGCAACTGGATGCCCTTCTTTCTTCCAACATTCTCCGCAACCACATGCACTTACACCGCACGACATGCAAAAGCCATTTACAAAGACTTCTCGCACGGTGTCCATTCACCATGTGACACCTTATCCAATCTCATCACGACCTCCATTGCTTCCTAAGTTTACTTCCAATAATCCTACCTATGACTGATGTTGACCTCAAGAATCCTGACTCTAGTACGATCTTGTTACATGACATGTAGACCATGCTAAGCCTCGGGTCCTCCTGCAGCGTAGTCCCGGTTCTTGCCATCAATTAAGGTTTGATCTCAAATCACCTCCACACAATCAGACAAAACAATCGTTTCAGGGCACAAATACCGCAACATGGCCTACACTAGTGACATGCACTTATACCAACGTCCACACTAATTTTCATCAAATAAATGATTTGCAATGCTAATTGTTCATTCTAAAATATTAATTATGAAAATGTTTCACAAAGATGAGTTCTAAAAGTTAAGCTCAAATTGAAGTTATGGGATTCATCTCCCTCATAATATAATGGTGGATATCTGAAGTATCGAATAGAAATCACATAGATACTACAATAAAAATAAGTCGAAGTATTGAATAGAAATGACATATAGATTCTATAACCAAAGTAAGTCTATAATAACTATGCTATCCAGAGTAGAATAAAAAAACCCACTACCGATTTCGATAATACTGTAGCAACTTACTAGGCATTTTGATAACCGGCAATGGATTAAACAATTTTTTGTTACGGCAACAAAAAGAGATTGACCAATGATTTCTGACAAATTTCAAACGAATTTGAAATCTTCTCTTGTGATCGATCATCGATGCACTGATTGCAGGGGATGGGAACGATGGCGCTGTCGGGGGCGTCGCCGGCGGTCATCAGCCGGAGCACCCAGCCGGCCGTCTTCTCCCTGGGGCTGTACCTCATGGCCATCGGCGCCGGCTGCATCAAGTCCTGCGTGGGGCCATTCGGCGCCGACCAGTTCGACGGCGGCGACGCCATGGAGAGGCCCAAGAAGAGCTCCTACTTCAACTGGTTCTACTTCGCCATGTACGTCGGCGCCCTCGTCTCCGGCTCCGCCGTGGTGTGGCTGCAGGACAACTTCGGCTGGCTCCTCGGCTTCGGCGTCCCGGCCCTCTGCACCGTCCTCGCCATGGCCAGCTTCCTCCTCGGCTCCGCCATGTACAGGTACCACCAGCCTCGTGGCAGCCAGGTGGTCCGAGCTTGCCAGGTCGTCGTCGCCGCCGTCAGGAAGAGGAACGTCGTGCTGCCTCACGACGGCTTCGTCCTCTACGATGGTCCGGCAGAGGAGGGGCGGAGGATGGCGCACACCGACCAGTTCAGTTTCTTGGACAAGGCGGCGGTGGCGGTGGCGGTGCCGTCGTCGGCGGCGGCGCAGCCGTGGAGGCTGTGCACGGTGACGCAGGTGGAGGAGCTGAAGGCGATCGTGCGGATGCTGCCGGTGTGGGCCACCGGGATCGTCTACTGCATGGTGCTCGTCCAGCAGCCGCTCTTCCCGGTGCAGGGCCGCGCCATGCGCCGCCGCCTCGGGGTCGCGTTCGCCGTCCCGGCGGCGTCGCTCAACTCCGTCTACGCCGCTGCCATGCTCGTCCTCGTGCCGCTCTACGACGCCGCGGTGGTGCCCGCGGCGCGGCGGCTCACCGGCAGCGAGAGGGGGCTGACCGAGCTGCAGCGCATCGGCGCCGGCATGGCGCTATCCGTCGCCGCCATGGCCGCCGCGGCGACCGTCGAGGGCAGGCGACTGGCGGCCGCCGGCGAGGTGAGCATCGCGTGGCAGGTGCCGCAATACGTGCTGCTCGGCGCCAGCGCGGTGTTGGCCCACATCGGGCAGCTGGAGTTCTTCTACAACCAGGCGCCGGACTCCATGAGGAGCCTCTGCTCGGCGCTCGGCCACATGACGTGCTCGCTCGGCAGCTACCTCAGCTCCGTCGTCGTCACCGTCGTGTCCCATGCCACCGCGAGGGGCGGCTCGCCGGGGTGGATCGCCGACGACATCGACGACGGCCACCTCGACCGCTTCTTCTGGCTCGTCGCCGGCCTCAGCTCGATCAACCTCGTCGTGTTCATCTGCTGCGCAAAGCGATACAAGTACAAGGATTCAATCAATTAATTGAGAATTGCTGATCGAATTGTGAATCTGTAAATTGTAATCAGCTCATGTGTTCTTTAGTTTCTGTACACGGGAAAATTTATGTTTTCTCATTGTTATTTTTGGAATAGAAATCAAGAGCTCTGTGAATTCACTGGGAGTAAAGAATTACAGCTCAAATGGCGACCACGTTGACTGTAGCAAAACCGGCAAAATTGCAAGACAGATAACATGTAAATAAAGAAAAGAAACTAAACCAACGTGCATCCGAATTTCTTATCTCACATGACTCTCGATCAATCATTTCTCTGTAATGCTTTTCGATTAGGATGCCATTAATTTGAAGAGTAATAGATTCTTCCATTATGTAAAGATTTGAAGACAAAATTGTTAGTTCAGTTTGGTTCTATTGTAAACAAGTGAAAGAGTTGATCTATTGTTTGCTACTTTTATTTTTCAGTACGAGCGTGTACAAGAAAACCTGTACCTTTCAGCAAAGGAGATAAATTTGAGTTTCTGCTCGGTCATGGATTTGAATCAATCAGTCATTCGCTGTAGTGCTTATTGATTAGGATGGCATTTGGGCTGTGTACATCCTTTTCTGGGTGTAGAGGCCAGTTTAATCCATTATCTAAAAAAAATCAGTTTGACTCTGAAGAAGCTTTATCTGCATGAATTAATGCATGATTACATCATTGCACTGGACTCAATTGGTAATGCAGAGACAACTCGTATGCAGCACCAATGCACTTTAAGCCTCATCTGAATCTTTTGATAGGCCAGATGAATTTCCCCACATTGCAAACATGCCACCGTTGCCACTACTTAACTGAACAAGTGAACAATCCACTTATCTTATCATGCTTCAGACATCTGCAATACCCAAATCAAACACGAAACTGCGATCGATACGTTAAAATTCCTTCTCAGCTGGTTGGAACACCCACTACCACTTTGGATTTGATACAAAAAGCTGGTTAGCACTAGGAAGCAAGGATGCTAAGTGCAGCTCCATTACACTAGTTAGTGACTTCACCATTGCAGAGCAGAAAGGAGAACCAGGCTCCAGTAGCCATTTTCAGAAAGTGGAATATCTGGATAGAAAACTAGTTAGCAGCATCAGACCAGTGCATGCGCAGCCGCCCACTATCATGCCGACTTCGCCTATCGGAAATAGTATAATTCATCGATCTATCGCTTTAACCGCCTATAAGAACATGGCAAGAAAACATGGACTGTGCAACCAGCACAAGAGCAGGGCAGTAACTTCTGTGAGAGATGGAGTACTCTTACAGCTACAGGTTCATGCTTGTATGCTCTGTTCTTGTACTGTGCCTTAATACTCGGGGTGCGAGATGCCAGTTATCCGACGATTTCTACGACTACATATGTCCTGATGTGTACACCGTTGTCCAGCAGCATGTTTATGCTGCCATGAGGACTGAGATGAGGATGGGTGCCTCCCTCCTAAGGCTCCATTTCCATGACTGCTTTGTCAATGTATACATTAACTACCCTTTTCACACATCTCTGAACTTTATCTGAATGTTCTACATACATATTAAATTGACTAGTTGTGTCACAATTACTGAAAATTTGTTGTGCATTTCAGGGGTGTGACGGTTCCATCCTTCTGGACGGTGACGACGGCGAGAAATTTGCACTTCCCAACAAGAACTCTGTCAGAGGGTTCGAAGTCATTGACGCGATAAAGGAAGATCTCGAGAACATCTGCCCTGAAGTTGTTTCCTGCGCCGACATTGTAGCCCTTGCAGCTGGCTATGGAGTACTATTTGTATGTTCAGTCTACGTCTACCCATTGTCCTTGTTGTTTCACTTTCTGATACTGTACATCTTTGTTTGAAAATCTCAAGTATGCTAAAATTTCATCATTTGTTCAGAGTGGAGGCCCTTACTATGACGTTCTTCTCGGTAGAAGGGATGGTCTTGTCGCAAATCAATCAGGAGCTGACAACGGCCTCCCTTCACCGTTCGAACCCATCAAATCGATCATACAGAAGTTCAATGATGTCGGCCTCGACACAACCGATGTTGTCGTCCTATCAGGTAGCACACTAGTGATCAATCCATCTCATGGTGCACGAATGGTTCAGAATCTGGTTTATATGCTAAGATAACCTCTTCCTACACTGTAGTACTTCCTGAAACTGTACAGTGGCAGCCCATGTTTCAGGGAACATATGCTCTCTGTCAGTTCCGAATTTTCATACTGTCTACAGTAAAAACTTGGAAACCGTCAGAGATAATATTTGATCAATTATAAAATGATCTGTTGCACATTTCAAGATTTCATAAACTTTTAAATGATCTGGAAATCTGAAACTCATTGATCATCAATAGGAGGGCACACGATCGGACGAGCCCGGTGCACGCTGTTCAGCAACCGGTTGTCGACCACCTCAAGCTCAGCCGACCCGACGCTGGACGCCACCATGGCCGCCAACCTCCAGAGCCTCTGTGCCGGTGGAGACGGCAACGAGACCACCGTGCTGGACATCACCTCCGCCTACGTTTTCGACAACCGCTACTACCAGAACCTCCTCAATCAGAAAGGCCTCCTGTCCTCCGACCAGGGCCTCTTCTCCAGCGACGACGGCATCGCCAACACCAAGGAGCTGGTGGAGACTTACAGCGCAGATGCCCACAAGTTCTTCTGGGATTTTGGCAGATCCATGGTGAAGATGGGCAACATCAGCCCACTCACCGGTGACGACGGCCAGATTCGCAAGAACTGCAGGGTTGTTAATTAACTGAGCTTCAGTGTGTTGAAAAGATAGTAAATTTCTTGTACTTTTCACAAGGCGATTGAGACGATGTGTGTTATGTTTTGATGTTACATGAATGCTTGAAGAAGCAGAAGTAATAACGATGTGATTGTGACTAGTTTGTGAACTGATCGTCAACAAAGATGTGATCCATTGGAAAAAAAGAACTGAATGTATGTGCCTTAAATTGGGTGGGTCATATACTGTATATCATATCATGCTGCAGGATGATCTGAAGATTGCAACTATCTCTACAGTTTCATCTGTTGTGTTTGCAGAATATTGACAACCAAATCATTTGAGTACTGCTAGTAGTACTGTGCTAGCAAAACGTTCAACATTGGTAGGAGTACCTAACTGTAACATCCTGAAAAATTCGCAAATAAAATCCGAGAACTCAAAAACTCATCCCCAAAAACTTTGCGAAAAATTTGCATCATGCTGGATTTGCCAATTCGAAATTTTCTTCCTATTCCAGTGCCATGTCCTTGTTAAAAACCTAAAATTCATTTATTCTCGAAAAGCTTATTTTAAAAAGATTGTTCCTTTGTGAAATATGTTTTACTCTATAAAACTATGTTTACCTCCCCTAAACTCAGCCTCCTCGACCAAATTCACCCTCTCTGGAAAAAGTCCACTTTGCCTCCCTAACAGCCCAATTTTTTTTTCTTTCCTCCTCTCCCAGGCTAGCGGAAGGAGAAGTCTAACACTCCTCCTCCCGAGCCCGGCTCCATCTCCCTTTTCCCCGGGGGGCAAAGCGGCAACGCCGCTACCAGGCGCCGCGCCACCATGGCCGGGCCACCGTGCCCATCACCGGCCGTCGCACGCCTTCCCCCTCCTCTCCTAGCCGGTGAAACCGCCGCTTTTCCCCGCGTCACCACTTTGTTGCCACGGCGCCACCACAAGGGCTCAGACAACGGTAAGGAATCCCGCCATCCTCGCCGGCCCGACAGACGCTATTCTCCAAGATGGACTAACGGTTAGACCGGGGCAATCAAGCCGGTCAGACCGATCTCTATCGATTGGGGTAAATTTTAATTCTACTAAAAATTTTTTTTAGTGTAGCTACCATTCACCCTCTTTGATAGGCTTAGTTATTGTTGTTCGATCCTAAAATATCACTTCTACTCACCTTAATCAGAGTCGTGTTAATTGCAAATGCAATCTACAACGTGTGTTGATTGAAGCGGAAGTACTATGCACTAAAAGTATTTACTTACTTCATCCCAAAATATAAGGCTCAGCCACTCGTGACACAAAAACTAAGAAAGAATTTAATCACCTCATCAATTGAACCACATCCATACATGCAAACAATGTGATTGGGTGACTTAATGGTAGAGAAATTAAAATAACCCAAATTTAAAAAACCAAGAAGTAATAGTTAATGTATGCATGCATGCACGTCTTGTATAGAAAAAAAATGGTTGTGCCTTGTATTTTGAGATGGAGGAAGTATATGCTTAAATGATTACTTCTCTCAACTTAATTTTAATGGGCTAATTAATGTGTTCATTTTGTGAGCATACATATTTATAACGGAGGGAAACAGTTACTAGTCTTTTCAAGATTGTCTCCATCGAAACACAAGTATGCTAGCTATTAGCCTTAATATGGTTGGATGTGCATCACAATCCTAAGCTACCTTTTGGCACTTGTGTGTGTCCGTCTTCCTGTGGGAAACTAAATTTAAAGGGCAACTAAGTACGTGCTTAATTAGAGATATAAATTTAATGGAGAACTAAGTACGCGATTTATTATCTAATTTTATCATTATACTTGGTTTGTGGCTGTGTGTGCTGTCGTGCACCACGCACGCACATGGATAGATTTAGTATATACATACACATGTCATTAATGCAGGGTGCACTAATTAACACTAGTTCCATGAAAGAGATTGTTGGCCAAATATTTAATCGTACGTGTCAACATACATGTTCCTACGTTTACATGTGCAGACTCGTTCAACTATAGGTCGCCGAGTGAAAGAGAGGTGTCTACAATGTTGCCTTCCAAAGAAGATTCTATATATATGCTCTATTTTGAATATTTAATGATTGCAATGTTGACGATGTGCTCTAATAATTCAAACGCATGGTATTTGTATTCTGTTTAATTTGTTTTAATTTGACGAAATTTTTGCATGGCGTTTGCTTCGATCAATCATTTTGTAAAGTCTATCTTGGAAGCATGAAGTTTGGCAGATATAATTTTTATAGCCGACAAAATCCAACAAAAAGTTCTTGTGTGGGAAAATATGGCCAGCTATAATGGGATAATACATGCATGCATGTTAAAAATGGGTGTCTAGCTACAAGCACTACTAAAAATCCGGGCTTCAGTGACGGGTTATCTGTAACAGGCCAACGCAACTCGTCAAAGATGAGTCATCTCTGATGGGCCAAAAAAATATCCTCTTCAATATATGGCTACTATGGAGGACCTGTCACAGATGTGAAGTCATCTGTGATGGCTTACACTTGTAACCCGTCATAGAAAACCATGGCTTGTCACGGATGATATGCCATCTGTGACAGGTGTAGTATTATGAACCATCACAAAAGAGACCACTCATCTCTGACGGGTCTTTAACTAACACACGTCACATATAACGTTATCTCTGACGGGTGGTAGTTATGACCCGTCAGTGATGAGTGAAAATTCAAATTTTTAAATTTTACAAAACACCTCGGATTGAGACATGTCCTATATAAAAGTTGTAGCTCTCAATGATATCCACAACTTTATAACTAACAATATTTCTATTAGAGATCGTTTACATCGCCGAACATGCATTACAAGTGATGAGATCTTACGTTTAAAAATTTTTTTTTGAGTATTTTTCAAATGACATGGATGGATACATGCCCCATATCAAAGTTATAGAACTCAACCAGATCTACAACATTATAATTGAAAATATTTTCATTTGACAAAGTTTACATGTTCAAAATACATGTTATAAAGTGAAATCTATTTTGAAAAATGAAATTTTGAATTCTTCAAACAACATCGGATGAAGATATTTTCTATGTAAAAGTTATAAAACACAATGAGATCTATAACTATTTAGTTGATAATACTTTCATTTGAAGTCATTTAGGGTGTTAAATATATGTTAAATGATTCAGACAAGCATAGACAAAATAATAACATTGGGTGAGTAGTCAATATGTGTTGAGTAGGTGAGTTGGTAAGGGAGCTCTCTATGGAGGTTGAGGTCTTGAGTTTGAATCTCACGTTTAGCATGCAAGTTATATTTGCGTGAAAAATTGTGAATTTGTAGGTAGTGATGTGTAACCATGTATAGTTTAGCATGCAAGTTATATTGCGTGAAAAATTGTGAATTTGTGGGTAGTGATGTGTAACCATGTATAGGATGGCTAGTAAAATTCAAAATATTTTTTTGAGGTTTTTTTGTTGCGTTTAAAATTCAAAAATTGTATTTCTTGCTTTGTCATCAGTGACGGGTCGTAAGTTACAACCCGTCAGAGATTAGTCATCAGTGACGGTCAGGTAGTTACGACACGTCACTGATGACACATCTGTGACGGGTGACAAGTTTTAACCCGTCAGAGATGACTTATATACCGGTCAGAGATGAGTTATCTATGACGGGTGTTTCACCCATCACAGGTGATTTTGTCATAAGTGACCACTAATCACTGACCAAGACCAAACCCGTTAAAGGTTAGGGTTTGGGCCCGTCAGAGATGACTTGGTCTGGCGTAGTGAAGCATGCCTTCAATTCCTCTAACCTACCATGGTCTTGACTAATAGTAGAATACTACCGGTATTGTCACCATTAATTCACAGTAAAAATGATTTTAACCATTAATTTAGGAATTCTATTATAAAACTGATAATCTAACAGTAATTGGGTGGCAATGTTATAGATACTCCCTCCGTAATAAAAAAATATACATATAACAACTTCTAGCTAGCATATATAGTTTATCTCTAAATATAGCAACTTCTGCAACTATATATTTCATCATCATATCTCAACCAATCAAAACCCTTTTCTGTTTAATTTAATTTATCCCTTCACCTTAATCTCAATGAAAAACTTTAGAAATGTTTATATTTGGAACAAATGGATCTAAATGAGAAAGGATGGATGGTCAAGATCGATTCTCTTACCGGTCTAGAGTTCACTGTACATTCCTCTATCAACATATGTAGTTGCACTACTTAAAAAAGCTCATAGAGATTGACACTATAGGTGTTGGAACAGTTAAAACTGTCATATATAGTTCTTTCCCCTCATCCGCAGACTAAAAACACATAAAACCGGCACCATTAAGCAATAGACGCCGGTTTTAAAGAAAAAACTGGCACCTATAATCTATTATAGGTGTCGGTTTTTTTTAAAAAAAATGCTACCTATACTGAGCCGAGCCAGCGAGCCGCCATATCCATCTCTCGATCTTATCCATCCTCCTGTCCATATCTAATATCTCCGTCTCTCTCACCAATCTCGGCAGCGACCGCGCTCTCCCCTCTGCCAGATCCGCCCGGGGGGGGGGGGGGGTGGTGATACCCCGAGTATCGAATTAGTGTATTTCGGGAAATATTAGAACAAACGCGCAAAAGTTAAAATTTTAAACCGTTGTTCAAATAGGCGATTAGGAACCGTGGATGCGTAGAGCTCGCCGAGTAGTGCAAAATAGAGTATAAGTTTAGAGTAATCGAAGTCCGAACAAGGTCCTAGAGGTTGAATTAATGTACGTCGTTTGATCTTCATTAGGCTCTCTATTTAACCAACTTGTAAAAAAAAAAGAAGAAAAAAAAAGAAACCAGGGATCGTGGCAGCTAGCCCTAGCGCCAGTCCCCAACCCTGCCTCTGCGCCACTAATTGTTTCCTCTTGCTCGACTCCTCCTTGGTGAGTGCTGCCGCCAATCCTTGCTGCTGCTGCTGCTGCCACCGATCTAATATGTTTCCATGTTGTGGCTGTTTCTGCTAACGTTCCTCGCTGTTGCTGCTGTTGCTGCTGCTGGTCTACTGCTGTGCTTCTACAACGAACAGAGAGGAGGAGTTTCAGAAAGCAGGGAAAGCAGGAGGAGAAAAGAAGGAAAAAGGGAAGAGAGGCAAAAGTTGGGGATTTTCTGGGTTTTCACAGATTGACCTCAAATTTGATTTTCTCCTCTGCAAGGTTAACTCCTATTAGTCCAAAAAAAATACAATTTTCACGTGGGAATCGATTAAATCGTTGGTTGAGTAT